CGTAGTAGAATATTAAACGTGTTTAATATTTCTCACGACGGCTTAAGACTGTCCCCGACGATAAATCGGGTCGGGCTGCGTCGGCCGACGCTGTCTGAGTTGGCCTTTAGAGTGGTATATATTTACTTTAAACAAAATTGATATGGCTACATAATTGCCTCACTATAGGCATACTATTCTGGTTTGATTTAATTTGATTTGGTTCCAATTTAAATACATAAAGATAAGAAATTCAATCGTAAAAGAGGCAGAAACAAGAAATATATATAGAGATAAAAGCCCTTTAAAAACATGAGAGAACAATTTTATTCCAAAACATTAAAATACTAGAAAAAATAACATAAAAAACAGAGGAAGCAAGGATAGCCATCAAAAGATGTCGTAATCTTAATGGCAGAGGGATCCTTACATACATAAAATACAAATGATTAAAACATTAATTCTTTAAAAATATATACAATTAATTAAAAAAAAAATACGGGAAGATACAAGTTTAAAAGCAGTCACTTTAAGATGATTTTTACATGCAAATATCTTTGGAAGACGATTCAATTATTTAATACAGAAAATAGGTCTTAGCGTTTTGGTGATATGGAGAGTAAATTATAAGAAATTAAGTTTATAAAGTATATAAAGCTAAAGATTATGAATAATTTTGTATCTGGCACAATTTATTTAATATTTAAATAGGCCTACAAGGTCCATAGGGCCAACATGTCACTTACGCCTGATACGCACAAGCACCAGATATTCCACCAGGTAGGCCCTAGCCTACAGCAGAGATAAATACTACAATGCAAGATGGCCGTCCACGGGGGTTGTTCGTCTTGGCGCTGCAATTAAAAACGTTGCAAATCCAGGTATATGCCCAATAATTTCTTACAATAGGACAGAGATGATGCCTGAGAAAAATTAGTAATTCGTTGGGTGAAATAATTGAAAGTAGCCTAAGTTTCATAGTGCGCTTCGAATGTTAAGTCATGACTTACTAACCCCGATGATTAAAATGACTCAAAAGTTGGTAGGCCTACTTAGGTACTTAGATCTCCCATTCTTTCATCATCTCTAAGTCCCATGCTCTGTGTGTTGAATTGACAAATTTACCCATATCTGGTTGTTTACTTAGTACCTCTGAAATGGCAAAGCATATTTAAAATGGGGCAGAACTATTGACAGCAAAACTGAATCGTCATGGTTTGTTTACTAAACTGTCATAGTGGCAGAAAATTTTTCAGAAGAGGACAAAACAGTTCTCTTGTCCTTTCCCCTCTATTAAAAAGTGTAGGCCTACATTAAAAATGCCGATTTTGCGACACAATTCTTTATGGTGTTATTCATACTGAAGTAAAGCAGTTTGCGCAACATGGGCTCTACATCATGAAAACATTAATTTTTTTTTTCAAATATGGCAGAGTAATTAATTTAATCAACATTTTCATTTTTTTAAAAAGTTTACAAAACCTCAGAGTGCTGTTACTCACTATGTATGGTAAATGGCCCTAAAAATTGGTATGGTACCCACACGAGGAAGTACGGTATGCGATGGCCAGACCATTACATCAATGCTTTTTACAGGTGCAATAAATGATAAAAGGTAATTTCAATATGGACTTGTGATATAGGGGTTAAAGACCATATAGTCACTCCCGTGCATCATTGAATAAATCAGTCTGTTAATCGTTTTCAGTAGGCCTATAGCATAATTTATCGTCATTTGTACTTTAAAATACATTTTTGAAAGGGTCCGCTGAAATCAATACTTCAGTATAATAGCAAAATAACAGTATCAGGTATTTACCGCCAAACAAGAACAAACTACATTGAACTATGATGAATGTTAATGTTCCTTATAATATTGGCTACCTTTATTACTGTAGTGTATTCACGTTCTGAGGCCTTGCACGGCACAAGACCCGAAACAAAATAGGAAAACCGATACGATCGTATTCTTATTCTAATTTAGATTTCTATGTAGAGCATATCACAGGTCTAAATGCGTTTGATATGCATCGATTATACTGAAAATGTTTGTGAATCAGAAAATCTATCTTTCAGGAATTTTAATTGGGTCATTGTTTCCCAAAAGCATAATCGACCAGGAACGTTTCATTTTTTCTTATAGAATGGTTCCGGTATTACACAACAGATCTTCACGGTTTTTCTGCCGCGAAACACATTTTGTATTGTATATTTTTTTAGTCAATTCGAGTTATTAAAGGACTATCAACTATACAATAATATATAATAGTAACTATAATTGAAAACAAAATTAAAACATTTATTAAACCGTCAATTGTATGAGCTCCATCTCTCCTGTTTATGGAGGCTTGGGGGAAATAACAAAAGAAAAAAACAATTAAACTCGTGATATTATATCGGAAATGATTTACAGCTAGAGGCAGGGCCGGCGGAACGTTTTTCAAAGTGGGGGGGGGGGGGGGCACTTATAAGATGAATGGGAATATGAATCATGCAGATCTGGAAAAACATAGGGGATGGGAGTCGACATTTTTTTCCAAAAAGGAAAGGGGTTCCGGGGGTCCTCCCCCGGGAAAATTTTGATTTCTAGATGGCGGGAAATGACCTTTCTCGATATTTGAGCTAGGTTTCTAATGACTTTGTTCTTCAAAATTCAAGGTTTCCCCCTCTTGAAAACGGTCAGGTAAACTTTCTCATTCTTATTACAGTAAATAGGCCTGTTATGTGTGTATACATACATAAAAAAAACCTAGTTTTTGCATACCGGTACGTATTCTTTATTCAATGAATCGATAAGCTCCAAAGAAAAGGAGCGGAGGTCCCGGGGTTCTCCCCCGGAAAAAGTTTTAATCCTTAGATGGCGGGAAGTGAGCTTTTCAGACTTCTGAGGTGTCTTAATTACTTTTAAGTTCTTCAAATTTCAAGGTTTTCCCCTCTTGAAAACGGTCAGGTATTTTTTCCCATTGTTATTACAGGAAATAGGCCTTATGTGTGTATACATAGGCCTACATAAAATTAAAAAAATAGTAGTTGCATACGTATTTTTATTTTAATGAATCGATAAGCTCCAAAGAAAAGGGGGTCCTCCCCTGGGAAAATTTTGATTCCAGAAGGCGGAAAATGCGTATTCCCGACTTCTGAGGTGTCTTTTAATTACTTTTAAGTTATTCAAAATTCAAGGTTTTCCCCTCTTGAAAACAGTCAGGTAAATTTATCCCTGTTATTACAGTAGATAGGCCACACATAATATGTGTGTATACATATACATAAAAAAAAATTGAGTAGTTGCATACGTTTTTTTTTCCATGAATCCATAAATCCCAAAAAGAAAGGGGATCCGGGGGTTCTCCCCCGTGAATATTTTGATTCCTAGAAGGCGGGAAATGCGTTTTCCCGACATCTGAGGTGTCTTTTAATTACTTTTAAGTTCATTAAAATTCAAGGTTTTCCCCTCTTGAAAACGGTCAGGTAAATTTATCGCATTGTTATTACAGCAGATAGGCCTTATGTGTGTATACATACATTTAAAACAAATGAGTAGTTGCATACGATTTTTTCCATGAATCCATAAATCCCAAAAAGAAAGGGGGTCCGGGGGGTTCTCCCCCGGGAAAATTTTGATTCCTAGAAGCGGGAAATGAGCTTTCCCGACTTCAGAGGTGTCTTTTAATTACTTCTAACTTCTTCAAAAATCAAGGTTTTCCCCCTCTTGAAAATGATTCAATGAACCAATAAACCCCAAAGAAAAAGGTTCCCCCCGGAAAATTGCGATTTCTAGAATGCGGGAAATGACCTTTCCTGACTTCTGAAATGTCTTTTAAATGACTTTTTAAGATCTTCAAAATTCAAGGTTTTCCCCTCTTGAAAATGGTCAGGTAAATTTTTCTTATTTTTTAGTTTATGTGTGTATACATACATAAATAAATGAGTAGTTGCATGCGTATTCTTTTTTTCCATGAATCGATAAATCCCAAAAAGAAAGGGTGACCCAGGGGTTCTCCCCCGGGAAAATTTTAATTCGTAGATGGCGGGAATGAGCTTTCCCGACATTTGAAGTGTGTTTTAAAGACTTTTATGTTCTTCAAAATTCTAATTTTCTGATTGTAACATAAAAAAAAAAAATCAGCTCACGGATCCTGAAAAGGTAGATCTAAATTTTTTTTTCCAGTCACACACAATCTCCAGACATTATTTTTTGCAAAAAAAAGTGGGGGAGCCCGGTCCCCGGCTCCCCGGTTCCGCCGGCCATGATAGGCCTACTCGTTGCTTTCACAAACTATCCAAGGCAGAGTTATGAATGATCGCTGAGGAAATCTCCTTGCCTACCAAAGTAGGCTACACACTTATATCGTCCTACGTGTAGCATAAGGGTATCCGTAGAGTGTAATCGGGAGGGATTTTTGGAGCTACGTTTCGCTCTCTTGCGAACATGAATGTCCAACAGAGGAAATTTTGAAGGAATGAAGGCTTAGGGCCTACATAAATAGATAAGCCTCTGCGTAAATACACATACCAGTGAGTTGTTATTAAACTCCCTGCATATACTCAAATGCTCACTTCTTACCTATTAATATCGCTAGACTCGACGTCAGACTCCTTCCCCATGGTCCGACAAAGTGTAAAACTATTGGTTCTTTTTTTCTAGATTGCATATGCCCTTGTTCTCTGCTGTACTAGCGTTCGAACTAAACACTTTTGTTAGATTAGGCCTAGTGAATCATAAGCTTGTGCTGTGCTACCATATCTCATAGCTGTACCATATCTCATCGCTGTATTTATACCGTAGTGACAATCAGTTTTATTATATCGTTATATCGTAATCGTAATGTTTGTGTAAGCAATACTGTTACACTAAGCTCTGTCCCTTGGACTTTTTGTTGCTAATATCTACAAAATGACAGCATACCAGTACACCCATTATGATACAGTATACGTACTCACGAGATGTGTATAAGAGACAGACCCAGGCCAGATGCAAAGCGGCAACCCAATTCACAATCAAAAGGAAATGAAATTTGTATTTGAACAAAAATAAGAATGCAAGAAAAACAAAAAAATTCTATACACATTTTGTGGTAAAACACTTTCGTTTGTGTTCTTGTCTCTGTTCTGATTGGTCAGTTGTTAATCAACTAATCAGTTAACAATTGTTTCAATATACAGGATATAAAGAGGGTCCTGAAAATTACCGGTGTAAATAGTGTATATTATTGGCCGTATTCGATCGTCGTTCTTCGTTAAATTACGCCCACCTGCGCAGTGGTAAAATCCTACTTAACAAAGACGACCAGTCGATTAAAAAACCGTTAAAGATGTACTGTCCCTTGAAAATGACCAAAATCTTTAAAAAAAATAATTTTAAAATTAAATTGCTCATTTTGCAGTAACATAAAAATTATTAAATTGAGCATAGAAATTATTAAATTAAAAAAATGTGTTCCCTGATTTTTTTAAGTGGATAATTATAACAAAGATAATAAAATACTTCCAGTGACTGGAAGTGTTTCTATCATTTTTCTCTGTAAAATGATAGTTTTTATGGATAAGCATTTTTTAAATACACTAATTTCTATGTTCAAGTTGATAATTTTTATGTTACTTCAAAATGGGCAAGTAAATTTAAAAAATGATTTTTATGATTTTTTTTTGTTTGTTGTTGTTGTTGCAAGGAATCCATCTTGTTGCTAAACTGACCAATCGGCTATATTTTTTGGGCACGTGCATAACGCATTCTGGTTACGTTAAATTTCGTTGTCAACGAAGTCTATTTTACGAACCAGTCGAATGAAAATAATACTCAACGAAAATTCGTACTCAACGAAATGAACCAGTCGAATAAGCCCATTGTTAGAATAGCCTGGTAATGATGTTTCATCATCAGGTACTTGATCAGAGTATTATAAGGACATAGTACAACAAATACACAGGGAAGAAATACATAATAAATCGCAACAACAAATTGTAAGCAATTCCAGGCCTAAATATGTGGTGCACAATAGTAAATACAATTCGATAGGCCTATAAACAACAAGCCATCAGATAGAATAACGACAGGGACAAATCTAAATGGTAGAATTTCTTCACAATGAAAAATATAATTTTAGACATCAGCATTCTAATTCGAAGTGATTTAAAAGCTGATATAATGATAAATATAGATTTTGCGTGGCAGCCATTTTGATATCCAAGATGGCCGCCAAAATGAGCTAGAATGAAATACTGTAGTATTGAATTCTGAGAGCCTGGGTATGATTCTGTTGTAAAACATGACAGTTACGTAATTTCTAGTATACCATACAAAATTTGACCTGAAATGACATTGAATTACATTAAATGACCAATTTGTGATAATCTTACCAGGTTAAAAATGGTATGATAGTATTTGTTGACCATATAAATATATTTTTAGACATTAGAATTATAATTTCCAAATGAGGCAGAGTAATTAACTGAATGAACAATTCTTTCTTTCTTTCTTTCTTTCTTTCTTTCTTTCTTTCTTTCTTTCTTTCTTTCTTTCTTTCTTTCTTTCTTTCTTTCTTTCTTTCTTTCTTTCTTTCTTTCTTTCTTTCTTTCTTTCTTTCTTTCTTTCTTTCTTTCTTTCTTTCTTTCTTTCTTTCTTTCTTTCTTTCTTTCTTTCTTTCTTTCTTTCTTTCTTTCTTTCTTTCTTTCTTTCTTTCTTTCTTTCTTTCTTTCTTTCTTTCTTTCTTTCTTTCTTTCTTTCTTTCTTTCTTTCTTTCTTTCTTTCTTTCTTTCTTTCTTTCTTTCTTTCTTTCTTTCTTTCTTTCTTTCTTTCTTTCTTTCTTTCTTTCTTTCTTTCTTTCTTTCTTTCTTTCTTTCTTTCTTTCTTTCTTTCTTTCTTTCTTTCTTTCTTTCTTTCTTTCTTTCTTTCTTTCTTTCTTTCTTTCTTTCTTTCTTTCTTTCTTTCTTTCTTTCTTTCTTTCTTTCTTTCTTTCTTTCTTTCTTTCTTTCTTTCTTTCTTTCTTTCTTTCTTTCTTTCTTTCTTTCTTTCTTTCTTTCTTTCTTTCTTTCTTTCTTTCTTTCTTTCTTTCTTTCTTTCTTTCTTTCTTTCTTTCTTTCTTTCTTTCTTTCTTTCTTTCTTTCTTTCTTTCTTTCTTTCTTTCTTTCTTTCTTTCTTTCTTTCTTTCTTTCTTTCTTTCTTTC